ATTAAAAAAAAAAAAAAAAAAAAGAAGTGATGGTCATTAACACCCACGGGTGCCGAGTACGTGGGGGCCTGAGGGCCCTGGCTCCTCCGGGGAAGACGGCTTGAAATGTGTAATGCTTTCCACATGTCCATCACCTTCCCCGCAAAAATAAAAGTCAGCGCCTATGTTAACACCTGTGGAGTGGAGAGAGAGAGCAGAAATCAGGTAGATGATAATAAGCCATGAAGTCAATTGACTCCCTATGTGCTGTTTGAATAGAAATGCTGATATCTCTTCCAGGCAGTTGGTTTTAAAGTCTAGGTGGAGCAGGAATCAAAAGGAGGGTGCAACTGCAGCACCGCATCTCCCCCCACAGATGATGGGGGACCCTCTCAACCTGGCCTTGTGCTAACACCAATGAATCCTCTCTGACCTGCTCTCTTTTTTCCCCAGCCTTCAAGCAATGCCTGCTGGCCACACCACCATGGACGTTATCATCAGCTTTACTTGCGTTTGCAGCACTGGCTGCAGCTGTGAGACGATAAGCAAATTTCCCCTAGCCCCACACTTGCTACTCCTCCAACCCTTTTCTTCTACCCATGTAGACCTGCTGCTCCGTACAGTCTAGGAGAGACATTTAGTGAAGACATTTACCTTGGGAACCAAGGGAAATCCATTTCCCATCCAGTCTTCTAGCTCACCTCCAGTAGGTATGGGACTCGTACATGATGCAGCCCCCTTTACTCAAAGGCCATTCCCACCAGATTGGGTTTTCACATACAGGATCTTCAGTGAGGTGCTAGGAAGGGGGAAACACGAAGGAGTGAGAGGGGATAAGAGTAGAAGGCTATATAGACTGGGAAGCCAGAAGAGTCTGGAGTTGATAAACATCCAAAGGAGTGCCACACTGATTGTGACCTAGGCATCATTTGTAATGAGACCTATATTTAAAAGTGTTGCATCATATCACTCAGTTGGAGGTGTCATGGACTAGGCAAGACTTAGCCCTGCAAAGTGATGGCCATGGAAAATACCCCTGCATTTTTTGACCAAAAGTTGGTGTGCGTGCATGGTAGATTCAGTTGCAGTGGACTGTAAATGCCCCTATCTTCCTAAAATCCCTCTCCTCTAAGGATAATTAGGGAGAAATCAAAGAATCATTGAAAATGAGGGTGGGAAGGGACCTCAGGAGGTCACATCAAGTCCAACCCCCTGCTCAAAGCAGGACCAGCCCCAACTACATCATCCCAGCCAAGGCTTTGGCTACCTGTGTCTTCAAAACCTCCAAGGATGGAGAGTCCACCGCCTCTCTGGGTAACTTTGTCCAGTGCTTCACCACCCTCCTAGTGAGAAAGTTTTTCCTAATATCAAACCTAAACCTCCCTTGCTGCAACTGGAGCCCATTGCTCCTTGTCCTGTCATCTGCCCCACTGAGACCAGACCAGCTCCATCCTCTTTGGGCCCCCCTGCAGGGAGCTGAAGGCTGCTATTCAATCCCCCTCGGTCTTCTCTTCTGCAAATTAAATGTGTAGTGCTGAGAAGAGACATGAAGAAACTCCACCCCATGTGGTTATTTTGGAGTCCTACTGTACAGTCTCCCATTTAATGAACCCTTTGTCCAGGACATCTCTGGAAGGAGCATCTATCCGAAGCAATGGAAGGACCACATCCCGGGAGGGTTTTTAATGTGAGGAAAACAATGAATGAAAAAGATTCTGGAGGGAAAGAACAGCAAAAAAAAAGAACAGAAACAAGAAGCATCTTTCACATACATCACATTTATTTTTCCAATGATAGCATCATGTGCACGTGTGTCTGGAATGTCATATTTGGGTCTGGATGAGGCTGCAGAGTTTCCGTGGGAAGGCTTTGGATTTATTCATCCTTGCGGTCTCACATGCAGACATACACAGTTGGGCTCGTGGCCATACTCCACTACTGGACTTCTCAGTTGAGGACCACTGCGGAGCAACATGGCCATTGCACGGTGCAGAGGCTGTACCCTGTGGCCTATGCATGGGGGTAAAGACAGGAAGAGACCTCTCTGGTCTCACTTTGGCTCCAGAAAACTGAGCCTTACCTTAGCGTCCAAGAGGGAGGCACCTAAAGCATCTTTGAAGCAACTGGTTCCTTTACATCTCTCGAGTGCAAACTGCTGGGGGACCAGTAAGGAGGCGGGAACCAAAGCTGAGAATCTGTCTGGCCAAAAAGAAAAGGGGCCATGCTGCAGCAGGATGCTGCTGGGAGGGGAACGTGGGATGTTTGACGTTTTACAAAACCCACTGCTGATCATAACCAGCCACGTGCCCATCAACCACTTTGTGGCTTCTTGTACACCATGCCCTCCCACTCTGGTTTTGACGCTCTGCTCCTTAGGCAGGGATTACGTCTTCTCCCGTGTTTGGAAAGCGCCGACTATATTTCTAGGAGAACGTCAGTAATTAAGGGCCAAGGCTGGAGACCAGACATTGAATGTGGTGGGGCAATCTGGTATGGTAAATAAAAATCTGAATTACCGCCATCATCTCCTCATTCTCATTCAATGATACTAAGAGAAATCCTGACTTCTCTTCAAGGCAATGGCTAAGTTCTTGATTTCGATCTGCCCAGGAATTGACCTTGCGGATTTAACGGGGACGGTTGGGCCAAGCGAGCATTGCCTCTCTGCTGAGCCTGGGACCCTTGCTGAGAAACTACCTCCGTCCACTCGGCCTCACTCTGTCCAGCCATTAAAAGAGATGGCTTGGAGGGGTCCTGAGCCCATGCTTCAGTGCCATTCTCCCAAAACAGAGACACGGTTTTCCTAGACAGAGATCCCGAGAGGAGCACTGGAGGGGTCTGATCAGGGCCCCCTTAGTTGTTAGGAAACTAAAATAAGGTTCATCTTGGCTTATGAGAACGCCAAGGCACCAGGTTCCTCCAAATATAAGGCACACTTTTAAAATGAAATATTTCTTCTAAAAACGGCACGCATCTTCAATTGCAGTTTCCAAGAAAAGCTACAAAGGTCTGATAGGCACCACAGGGTGCACCTTTGTAAATTGTGTCTTTATTTGACTCCTTTCCTCACCTTAAATAGAGAATAAAAAAATAGGATGCATCTTAAATTCAACTGCGCCTTATATTTGAAGAAAAGTGATATGCCCCCTCCTTCAATGTACTAGCCGTTGCCTTATTTCATATACCCCCCTTGCCTTTTTATAAGCTTTCAAGGAAATCCCTGTGAAAGAAGAGCCCATAACTAATCTCTTCTCCAACCTCAACTAGAACAAAGTTTAAATTCACCAAAGGGCCAACACCCAAAGCCAAATGCAATCAGTGGAAGATTATTTAATGACTCCAGGGGGGTTTGGCTCTGAACTATGCTGACCGGGAGAAGAAAGGCATCAAAGGTCTACACACACACAAAGAATCTCAACTGAAATTAAAAAAAAATAAATAGATTTGTCTTTTTCTTTGTTTTAAAAAGAAAGAAAGAAAAAGATACACCGCTTGGTTTATTTTTTTCCAAGCTCGCTGTACATCGTACTGCAGCACCGGAAAGCTACCAGTGAAATTGCGTATGCATGTCTCTCATCAACCAAAGCATGCTTTTATGGAGTGCCTCAGTCAATCAATTAGCCACACATTATGCAAACACATCACTCAGCTGTGAATGAAGTACATACATCCCAGTAAATATATCAGTCTTTGCTTGCTGTTCACTTCTCCGATTTAAGTCGGCTGTTTAAACTTTGTCTACCATACTATAAACAAAGTTTTTTTTTTCTTTTTCCTAAGCATGCCAGGTTCAAGTTCTGAAATGCGAGGACCTGGGGAAAGAGGGTCATTGGCATAATCTCCCCAACATGCAAACCTGGAAGGGGCCGCGGGATGTCGAATGGAAACAACTCGGTTGCAATAGTTTATAAGCACAGGGGGAGGATGTGAGGTCCATCGTCCACTTCAGGGCAGCCCATAGCTGCTGTCCGACAGGATACAGGAGTGCGGCTTGTGAGATAATCCCACCGCACGCAGCACTGTCCCTCCACAGACCTCACAGCCCCCTGCAAAAAATCAAGCATCTAATTTTTTTACACGGGGGGAAACCGAGGCACGGAGAAGTGACGCAACTTGCCCAAGGTCACCGTCAGGCTGTGGCACAACTTGGGGCAGGGTCCGAGAACCACCCTGGCTCCATCCTGGGTGCTATGGGCTGCTGCTCGACTCCCAGTTTCGAAAGTGCAGCCACAGTGATGGGCTAAAGAGAAGGGAAGGGGCTGCAACGGGTCATGATGGACAGGCAGCGCGCAGGTACTCCAGGCCGGAGCCCGTCTCGTACCCGATTTGTGACGGTGAGCTCAGGCTGGAGAACGACAACGCACACGGCTGCCATTCCTCAAGGGCTGGATGGAGACGTGGGAGGTCTTGACTTAGGCACTGAGCGCGAGCGTTAGACGAGAGGACACAGGCCCTCTTCGGGGGTTTATAGAATACACTCGTGTCTCTCTGTGACTTTCAGGGCTTCGTGCATGCTGGCTGCCGACAGCCTCCGGTTGATGTTCCTGTACCTGCACCATAAGAGGTTCCAAAAAGTAGTCCTTAAATCTCGGTTGAAGAAAGCATAGATGAGGGGGTTGATGAGGGAGTTGGTGTAACCCAGCCAGAGCAGGGTCCTCTCCAACCTCAGAGGCATGCAACTGCACTGGATGCCACATATGAAAGGCCGGGCCGTGGACATCAGGAAGAAGGGGAACCAGCAGAACGTGAAGGCCCCCACGATAATGCCAAGGGTCCTGGCTGCTTTCTGCTCCCTTTTGAAGATGGAAATGTTCTTTCGATCCTGCCTCAGCAGCTTGGACAGTGTGGCACACTCCTCCACCGCCTTGCTGCGCTTGGAGCTGTGATGGCCCCGGACGCTGGCCTCCATGCAATACACCCCATCCTGGTCGTACTGTTTGGGGAAGTTCATGAACCGGTGCTTCTCCGCGCTGACCTTGGCGGCTTTGTAGATCCGGTTGTACATGACGAGCATGACGGTCATGGGGATGTAGAAGGCAACGCCGGTGGAGTAGACCGTGTATCCAAAGTCCTGGCTGATAAGGCAGACCCTTTCGACGGTGACGTTCTTGGCCCAGCCGAAGAGCGGGGGGAGCGTTATGGAGGCAGAGAGGAGCCACACGATGAACACCATCTTGGCCATCAGCTTCCCGTTTTGCCTCACGGGGTACGTCAGTGGCCGCGTGATCCCTAGGTACCTGCAAAACAGTTTAAGAGCTTATTAGCTTTGCATGGGGCTGCTTTGGTGCTTAGAAGAAGTTACAACCCATCAAATGTCTACAACGAGTACCATCGTGTATGCAAAAAGATGGCGTCATCTTAGTCACAGCTGGCGCTAACTGGAAATTTTCCTTCTCCCCGAGGAACTTTTAGGCTTTTCCCTGAAAAGAGCCAAAAACCAGAACAAACGGTCTTTTCAAAATGCTGTTCCTCCGGGAGTTGCAGTTTGCACCCATTCTCCCTGACTGGACTTCACTTCCTACAGTGCCCCACAGTCTTCCCTCTCACAATCACCGTTTTGCAAGATGTGGTCTACTTGGAGGGCTCGGCTGGAACCCAGGTATTTTTCCTTAAAAACCATCGATGACTTAAATGCCTAATTTTCCATCAGTCAGGTATGCAGGTTGTAGCCTTACTGGTCCAGAGGCACAAGGAATCAGGACTCATGGTAGCGGTGATATCTAGTTGCTGTAATAAAAGATAATCACCTCTACCACGAGTCATAATTCATTTTCCATCAGGAAACTTCAAAGCCTAATTTTCACCGAACATTTCTGTCCCAACCCCAACTCCTGACACGAATGCTCAAGGGACGCTCAAAAGATGGACCCTGCATCATGACTCCACAGGCGACTGGCCGAAGGCCAAAACCTGCTCTCCGTGACACCGCTGTAAACAAGAAGTAACCGCAATTGAAGTCAGTGCAACTAGACCAACACGTGATGGAGACAAGGATCAGCTCCTGGGTTTGGAAGAGAGGCTCCTTTATGCCCCTAGCATTTGGCTAAGAGACAGTGGCAGAAACTGCCACAGCTGCTTTCAGCTTTCCAAGACCGTGCATGGGGGTAGGGGCAATCTCACTCAGTGCCCCCTCTCCCCTGCACACGGTGGAGGGCAGAAAGAGGAGCTGGCCATAGGCAGAGGCCTTCCCTTGGGCATCGCATGGAGAGGAAGCACCGGAGCCAGCTCCTCCGGCTCTCGGGTATCAGGGAAGCAGCGGGCTTCTCCGGAGACACCGGCATTATCTAAGTTACTGCTTAGGCTGCATTAGTCAGGTTGATGGCAATCTGCATAACAATGGGGTGGACGTATCCGCACTCTCAGGCAAAACACAAGCCTCTGTTTTCTCCCCGTATCATTTTCTCCTTTCCCCTCCCTCCCCCATGGAGCTGCCTGTGAATGGAGAGAGGAGCTGGCATTGCTTTGGAGGGAGGGTGGTGCCGGCATGGCTGGGCAGCCATCAGCTGCGGTGGTTATTTCTGCAGCTTCTCTCCAAGTCGGCCCTTAGTCCCCCCCCCCCCCCCCC